GTTGGGCAAACGCACCATTCTACTCTCTGTTTCTATGAATTTGACTATTTTAGATAACCTCATATAAGTGGAATCATGCAGTATTTCCCTTCTATTTTACTTAGCACAAGTTCCCCAGATTCACCTGTGTTGTCACATATGGTAGGATTTTCCTTTTTTAATGCTGAATAATATTTTCTTGAATGTATGTCACCCATTTTCTTTATCCATCAATGGTCATGTAGGTTGTTCCATATCTTGGCTGTTGTGAATAATGCTGCAAGGAACATGGGAGTGCAGATATCTTTGAGATTCTGATTTTGGATCTATACTCATAAGTGGCATTGTGGATCATATGGTAGTTTAATTTTGATTTTTAAGGAACTCCACACTATTGTCCATAGTGGCTGCATCATTTTACTGTCCCACCAACCATGTACAAGGGTTCCAATTTCTCTACATCCTCATCAACCCTTGTTATCTTTTGATTTTTGATAATAGCCATTTTCTAAAATATGTTGTGAAAGTGGTGCATCATACACCATAACCAAGTGGGATTTTAAATGCCTTGGAAATGCAAAAAAACCGATGGTTTTTTTTTGAATATATGCAAATTAAAACTTTTAATTGTTTTTTGAACCACAACCCCACACTTTAATTAGAATGAAAGGGCCTCAAAATCAACAATTATCATCCTATTTTTTTTACTGCTTTATTGAGGTATAATTGATACACCAAAAACCTGCCCATATTTAATGTATACAACTTAATAGTTTGGCCATATTCATACACCCACAAAACCATCACCAAGGTCAGGGTAATAGACATATCCACTACCCCCAAACATTTCTTGTTGTCCTCCTCCTTTTTGTGGGATGAGAGCACAACATGAGATCTACCCTTAAGAAAATTTTTAAGAGCTCAATAGAGTATGGTCAACTACAGAAACTATGTTGCACAGCAGATCTCTTGAAGTTGTTTGCCTTGACTAACTATCATAAAATTTTATACTTATTGAAAAATAACTCCCCATTTCTCTCTCCCTAGACCTTGGTAACCACCATTCTACTCTCTGTTTCTATGAATTTGACTATTTTAGATAACCTCATATAAGTGGAATCATGCAGTATTTGTCCTTCTATTTTACTTAGCACAATGTCCTCCAGATTCACCTGTGTTGTCACATATGGTAGGATTTCCTTCTTTTTTAATGCTGAATAATATTTTCTTGAATGTATGTACCACATTTTCTTTATCCATCAATGGTCATGTAGGTTGTTTCCATATCTTGGCTGTTGTGAATAATGCTGCAAGGAACGTGGGAGTGCAGATATCTTTGAGATTCTGATTTTGGATCTATACTCATAAGTGGCATTGTTGGATCATATGGTAGTTTAATTTTTGATTTTTAAAGGAATCTCCACACTATTTTCCATAGTGGCTGCATCATTTTACTGTCCCACCAACCATGTACAAGGGTTCCAATTTCTCTACATCCTCATCAACCCTTGTTATCTTTTGACTTTTTGATAATAGCCATTCTAATATGTGTGAAGTGTGCATCATACACCATAACCAAGTGGGATTTATGCCTGGAATGCAACGATGGTTTGATATATGCAAATTAACTAATGTGACACACCACACTAATAGAATGAGGGCTCAAAATCACATTATCATCCTAATAGATGCATAAAAAGCATTTGACAAAATGCAGCATCTTTTCATAATAAAAACTCTTAATAAATGAGGTATAGAAGGAATGTACCTCACCTCAACATAATAAAGACCACATGTGACAAGTCCACAGGTAACATCATCATTACTGGTGGAAAACCAAAAGCTTTTCCTCTTAGATCTGGAACAAGAGAAGAATGCCCACTCTCACTACTTCTATTTAGTATAGTACTGTAAGTCCTAGACAGAGAAATTAGGCATGAAAGAGAAATAAAAGGCATCCAAGTCAGAAAAGAAGTAGTAAAATTATCTCTATTTGTGGATGACATGATCTTATAGGTAGAAAACCCTAAAGAGCCCACAAGAAAGCATAAATTTTTAAAGCCAATAAATGAATCTGGTAGTTATAAGAGACAAAATAAACACACATAAATCAGTTATGTTTTTACACACTAACAATGAAGTATCTAAAAAGAAAATTAAGGGAAGAATCCCATCCCATTTATAATAGTATCAAAAAGAATAGAATACCTAGGAATAAACTTAACCAAGGAGGTAAAAGATTAGTACACTGGAAACTATAATCTTTTTCTTAACAGTTAACGCAACAGTATGATTTATGAAAACAAAAAGAATGATAAAAAACCTCAATCTTTAAAGTATTTCTTTAAAAATTTTTATTTTTTCAATTCTTTTTAAGTTTCCCTTTATGTGGTTTTTTAACAGATAACCTCTGAAGTAACTAAAATTATAAAAAGGAAAAAAACCAAATTATCAAAAACAAACAGATTATTAAAAACATAAGAATTTTGATAAGCAAAAAAACACTTGAAGCAAAACAGAGATTTGAAACTTATAGGCTTTTAGCAACTTTAAGCCCCCATGGGGTCCATAGTTGCAGTTTTTGGGGGAGGTAAAGTGTAATACACCGACCTAAGCCCCAAAGTGCTTGGGGGTGATTTTTGAAGAAGGGAATCCCTTAAAACCTGGAAATAAAGCCAGAAAAGAACAGAACCTTGGGAAATAAAATTACATATGTTTTTTGGGCTTTGGAAAAGAAAATACCAAAATAATCAAAATAAAGACATTTCAGGTTGGGCAGGTTCTTTTAAAAAGTCCTCTAAGTGGGGTGCCCTGCTTGCTTTGCCTTTTTTCCTTTCCTTTTTTAAAATTTATCATTAATATACTAAATCAACTATACTGTTAGCAATGAGAAAGAAAGAGAAGGGAGAGGCGGGGCGCGGCTGGCTCCGGGCCTGTGCACTCGGGGGAGGCCTAGGGGTGGCAATTGCCCTCAAGCTCAGGCAGTTTGAAACTAGCCTGGGGCAAGAGCAGACCCCGTCTTCTACCATAAATAGAAAGAAAGTAATGGCCAACTAATATATATATATATAGAAAAAATTAGCCGAGCATGGGGTGGTTGCATGCCTGTAATCCCCAGCCTACTTTGGGAAGGCGAGGCAGGGGGATCGGCTTGGAGCCCAGGAGTTTGAGGTGGCTGTGAGGCGTAGGGCCGAGCCACGTTGCCACTCACCTAGCCTGCGGCAACAAGCGAGACTCTGGGTCTCAAAAAAAAAAGAAAGAAACAGAAGGAGAGAGAGAGAGACGAGAGGTGTGTGGTGTTTGTTTTTGGTGTTGTCTTTGTGTTTGTGTGTGGTGTGCTCTGTGTGCATATCATGTTCTGGCTGTTTTAGCCATCAAAGAGAGATTTGGACTATGGAGTCTAATTGGTTGTCCAATGAATAGCTCTATGATGGCTGAAAACAACAAATGGTGTCAGGGTGGAAGCATAAGGTGCAGTTCATTTGTTAATTGGTCCTGTCAATTATCAATTATTAGGTGTTTACCAATCAGCTTCTTTTTTTTTTTTATAGGCACAAAAGAAGACTACTTTTCCCAGACATCCTCACAGACAGGTTTAGGCCATGTGACTGCATTATGGCCAATAAGATGTGAGAAGAATTGATGTCCACTACTTCAGTGTTGGACATAAAACTACCTGTGAGATTCCCTACTCTCTCCACTTTTCTTCTATGGTCGCATGTTTCATATAGTATAACTAGTATTAATAAACAGGAAGAGCACATATATCTGAGTTATTGCTCATAGCAGAACCAGTGAATGGAGTTGCCCACACTTTATTAAACATTGCATGAACAAGTAAGAAATTTTTATTATGTTGAGCCTTACTGATTGGCGGATATTTAATGCTGCAGATTAATAATAATAGGTTTTGGGGGACTGATTATTTAGAAACAAGCATTTAAGTTACCTTTACTTGCAAACTGGCCAACTGTTCAGATGCAAAAGAAAATAAGATAATAAAAATGTTCAAGCTGGGCGCGGGTGGGCTCACGGGCCTGGCTAATCCTTAGCATCGGGAGGCTGAGGGGTAGGCGGATTGCTCGAGGTCAGGGGAGTTTTCGGAAACCAGCCTGAGTTAAGAGCAAGACCCCGCTCTCTTGACTAAAATAGGGAAGATTGGGGCCAGGACTAAATAATATATAAAAATTAGGGCCAGGCATTGGGTGGCGCATGCCTTAAGCTCCCAGCTACTCGGGGGAGCTGAGGCAGGAGGATGCTTTGAGCCCAGGGGAGTTTGGAGGTTGCTGGTGGAGCTTAGGCGAGTGCCACCGGCACTCACTCTAGCGCTGCGTCACAGAAGCGCAGACTCTGTCTCGAAAAAAAAAAAAAAATGTGCATATCAACAATTCATAGAACATGTAATAACAATAGACTGTATTAATAAAAAATATACAAGCCCTTTTTTAACTTCACCAAAAAAAATTATGTTGTTGGGTTGAGTTTTCCTGTTTTGAATTGCTATTAGCCAAGAAAAGGTGTTTTTTTAAAAAATTCCCCAAAGGGCAACATTCTTACTCGAGTCTCGAATAGGATACATGTTTACGTTACTACCACGGGGAATGCCCTTCGACTATATGCTTGCTGGGAGGTTTGGAAAAAAAAAAAAATCTTGGTTTTTTTCTTCTTCCTTTGTGCTTTCAAAAAGGTACAGATGCCCACTGGGAAAAAAAATTACAGGAGTCAATTGGTGATGTCTTCTCATGGTGGTAGGGTCTTAGGGTTATGAATACTCAAGTACTTTTTCCATTTACGTTTATATATATTTTCTAAGTCTTCGTTTTTTTTCCGTCCTCCCAGTTATATTATAGTGTTTCTTATTGTTATTGTATTCTTTTATGTGTACTAATATAATAATAATGGTATTAATTAATTAATATGCCTTATCAAATACTATTAAATTGTAATTCTTTCTTTATATATATAAGTCTTTATTATGTGTTTTTTAATGTTATTTTATACCTCTTTCTGTGGGTTAATGTTATCTTTTTTTTTTTTATTATTTATATAAATAAAAAATTAAATATGATAAAGTTTTTTATTTTATTCATTTTTAAGTATCAATTGATTATCAAACTTTTTAAAATAAGAAAACAAATTCAACACAGATTTACATAGTTGATAGCAAAACATTGAAGCAGAGATTTGAACTTATAGGCTTTAGCAACTTAACCATGTCTTAGTTGCACAGTTTTGGGGAGGAAGTGTATAACCGACTCAGCAGTGCTGGGTGTTTGTTGAAAAGCAGGATCTTAAACTGAAATACAGAAAGACAGAACGCTGTGGACTAAGATACATAATGTTTCTTTTGGAGAAATACCAATAATAAATCAAAACTTTCTTGGTGCAGCGTTCTTTAAAAGTCCTCTATGTGGCTTGATTGCCTTGTTTCTTTCTTTTTAAATTTTTTTTTTACGCTTATTGAGGTATAATGATACACAAAAAACTGCCCATTTTAATGTATACAACTTAATTGTTTGGCAATATGTCAAACCCACAAAACCACTCACAAGGTCAGGGTAATGACAATCCACTACCCCAAAATTTGCTTATGTTCCTCCTCCTTTTTGTTGGGTGAGAGCACAACTGGATCTTACCCTTAAGGAAAATTTTTAAGAGCTCAATAGAGTATGGGTCAACTACAGAAATATGTTGCACAGCGATCTCTGAATGTTGTTTCCTTCGTAACTCAATAAAATTTTATACTTTTCGAAAAATAATCCCCATTCTCTCTCCCTAGACCTTGAGGACACCCATTCTACTCTCTGTTTCTATGGAATTTGACTATTTTAGATAAACTCATATAAGGTGGGAATCATGCAGTATTTGGTCCTTTATTGTTACTTAGCACAATATCCTCCAGATTCACTGGTTGTCACATGATTAGGATTTCCTTCCTTTTTTAAGTGCCTGAATATATTCTTGAATGTTGTATGTACCACATTTTCTTTATCCATCAATGGTCCATGTAGGTTGTTTCATATTTGGCGTTGTGATATTTGCTCAAGGACAATGGGGAGTCAGATATCTTTGGATTCTGATTTGGATTCTATACTCATAAGTGGCATTGTTGGATCATTATGTAGTCTTATTTTCTGATTTATAAGGAACTCCACACTATTGTCTAGTGGTGCATCATTTTACTGTCCCACCAACCATGTACAAGGTTCCAATTTCTCTACATTCATCAACCCTTGTTATCTTTGATTTTTGATAATAGCCATTCTTTAAATATGTGTGAAGTGTGCATCATACACCATAACCAAGTGGGATTTATGCCTGGAATGCAACGATGGTTTGATATATGCAAATTAACTAATGTGACACCACCACACTATATAGAATGAGGGCTCAAAATCACATTATCATCCTAATAGACGCATAAAAAGCATTGACAAAATGCAGCATCTTTTCATAATAAAAACTCTTAATAAATGAGTATAGAAGAATGTACTCAACATAATAAAGACACATGTGACAAGTCCACAGCTAACATCATCATTACTGGTGGAAAACCAAAAGCTTTTCCTCTTAGATCTGGAACAAGAGAAGAATGCCCACTCTCACTACTTCTATTTAGTATAGTACTGTAAGTCCTAGACAGAGAAATTAGGCATGAAAGAGAAATAAAAGGCATCCAAGTCAGAAAAGAAGTAGTAAAATTATCTCTATTTGTGGATGACATGATCTTATAGGTAGAAAACCCTAAAGAGCCCACAAGAAAGCATACATTTTTAAAGCCAATAAATGAATCTTGTAGTTATAAGAGACAAAATAAACACACATAAATCAGTTATGTTTTTATACACTAACAATGAAGTATCTAAAAAGAAAATTAAGGGAAGAATCCCATCCCATTTATAATAGTATCAAAAAGAATAGAATACCTAGGAATAAACTTAACCAAGGAGGTAAAAGATTAGTACACTGGAAACTATAAAACATTGAAAAATATCAAAGAAGACAAAAATAAATGAAAAATATCTGTGTTCATGGATTGAAAGATTTAATATTGCTAAAATGTTCATACTACCGAAAGTAATCTACAGATTCCATATTATTCCCACCAATATTCCAATGACATTTTCTATAGAAATAGAAAAAAAATCTTAAAATTTATATGGAAGTCCAAAGACCCTGAATAGACAAAGCAAACTTGGGAAAGAAGAGAAAAGCCAGAGGCATCATACTTTCTGATTCCAAAATATAATAAAAAGTTATATTAATTAAAATAGTATGGTACTGGCATAAAGTTAGACTAATGGAACAGAATAGAGAGCCTGGAAATAAACCCCTGTATACATATGGACAACTGGTCTTCTACAAGTATAGCAAAAATATGTAATAGGGAAAAAACAGTCTCTTCAACAAATGTTGCTGGAAAAACTGGATATCCACATGCAAAAGAATAAAATTGGATGCTTATGCCATACACAAAAACCAATTAAAAATGGATTAAAGACTTAAACATGAGACCTGAAACAGTAAAATTCCTAGCAGAAAACATAAGGGAAATCTGACAATAGTTTTGGCAATGATTTCTTGGATATGACACAAAAAGCACAGACAACAAAAGCAAAAATAGACAACTGGGGCTACATCTAACTACAAAGTTTCTGCACAATCAGTAGAATGAAAAGGCAACCTATGGAATAAGAGAAAATATTTGCAAACTATGTATCTGATAATGAGTTAAAGTCTAAAATATATAAAGAATTGCTATAGCTCAATAGCAAAAATAAAACATGACAAAACCAAATAACCCAATTAAAAATGGGCAAAAGACTTGAATAGACATTTCTTCAAAGAAGACATACAAATGGCAGATGACAGGTACATGAAAAGGTATCCCAAATCACTAATTTTCAAGAAATCCAAATCAAAACCTCAAGGGGCCTAAGACTTTGTAAGGGTCTCCTCTCTACCTGTCCACATCCTACCTCTTCACCTGATCCTCATAAATTCTACACACCTGCCCCTATATTCTAGGTTGTGGCAGTGAGGTGGATGTTCCTCCATCTGACTTAGGTTGTAGTAACATTTAGGTGCAGTAAAATTAAGATAGGAGATTGGAAAGCATTAGATACTTTGTGCACTCCTTAATACTTTACCTTCTTGAATTCAATTTTATGAGTCCTTTTAATATTGTTCAATTTGATTATGGAAATCATATAAATAGGATTAGAAAGAGCATTGAGTTTGGAATCAGAAGATCTGAATTCTTTTGCCTGATCTTGTTATGAACTTTAGTCAACTTATTTAATCTTTATTTTTAAAAAAGATGATAAAAGCATATTTCTCAAACAGGCACTTGTCCATAAACAATACGACATATATACGTTCTTTATTTCAAATGGAGAAACATGATTTGTCTGAACTCTGCATTCAGGCCAAAGTATAACTGAAAAATTTGGAAACCTGAATATTCCACTTAATTTTCTTAAATAATGTATAAAGCTGAAGGGTTTTAGAGGTCATCTAATTCAACATCTCCCTCTTCTTTTACCTCTAACTCCACTGTTGGAGGTGAGGAAAATGA